AGTTAGATTTAAGAAAAAACATTTGCAACTATTTATCCTGTTAAGCATATTTAAGAGAAAGTTCATGAGGTCTGAGTAAAGAGTACCAGAATTTGCCAAACAAGTACCCTGTTGATTACCATCTCTATCAGCCACGTGGCTGTTTCATCATTGTGTGATCAGGAATCACAAGATTCCTTTCGTGTAGGTTATTTCTTTATACAATTCAAAGGCAGCTGAAAATTTATTTTTATTTGTGTTTATTTGTAAACTTTGTTGTGAAGCAGGATGCCTGTATAGGCTAATTGCTGTTCGAGCTCTTACTGTTGACTTACTGACCTGGTGTGTCAGGTTTGCTAAATAGATTATTAGACATATGCTACAGAAATCTGAAAACATACCCACTCCACAGAAAAGGAGAATTCAATATTCAGTGCCCTAAATAACACTGAAAAGGACAAAAATATACCTAGATGGGATTATAGGGACAAAACTATTCCTGTAATCCTTTATTGGTCTGCAAATATGTAGTTTTTCTGCAGACTTCTTCAGCATCAGGAGAAGCTGAACAACAAAGATGGACATTTCTTCCAGTAAGACCAAAATTTAGACCCGCAGTTCCCTCCATAGATGAGAGAGAGTTGCTCCCTCAGGAATTCAGTATTAGATACTGTGAATTCCCTTGGAGGACAGTTTCTCTCCATTGACAGTAAGGTACTAATTTAAATGTAGTGTGTCCTATCAAACTACCTTTTTTTCCACATAATGACATTCTGTTGTCTGTATTATTCAAGAGCTCAGACTAGATGGAAGAATATTTGGCCTTTAAGTCTGTAAGTTTTTAGCATTATGGTACAGTAAACAGTTGATAGTTGTGTAATCTTGGACAAATGAGTGAATTGGTATTGGTAGTTTACATAACAAAACAGGAATGAACAAATAAATAAAACATTACTGCCTCAGGCCGAGAAGAGGTTGATTTGTGAAGTATGCACTTAAAAAAATGTACTGTACCAAGCATTTCAGGGTATTTTGCTTGTTTGTTGCATAACAACAGCATGATCTCCATTGTGCAAAATACTCAAATGCAGTTGTCAACCTTGCAAAAAGCAACAGTGCTTATGTTCTTTAACCGAGCTATGTTAACTTAATTTAGCTAAACAAACTAACTAGAGTTTATCAAGCTTTGGAGGAGTGATGTGTAACTGGAGTCATTACTAAAGTCATCTCTATGATTCAGGGGAAGTTCTGACAAAGAAATCAACTTGGATGTGAGAGATTGAGAGAGCAGGAACTCAACAGTTTGACATATACCACTGAAAATCATCAGTGGAGAATCCAAGGATGGCTATTTTCTGTCCTTCTACTGGGATCCAGATGGAAAAGAGAGCAGTACTTAACACTACAGTATTGAAGGACACTATAATGTTGTATTCAGTATAGATTGTGGGCTCTGTCTTTTAGACCTAGGACTTAAAAGATCTCAGCTACAAGTGACTTTGGTGGTTGAGAGGAAAGCACAGCACCGGAGAACGTGGACAGTCTGGAGATAGTCTTGTGTGCATGAATCCCATGTATACATGGGTTCTAAGGTCATGTTGGTTATATTTTAGGGAAGGACATTTGTGAGGAGATTTTCTTTTTTGCCATGCCATAGCAGTTTCTCTGTAGATGTGAAGGACATTTGTGAGGAGATTTTCTTTATTGCCATGGCATAGCAGTTTCTCTGTCACCAGATGCAGGTGTTCTTATTTTCAGTCTGAAGACCTTTAAATGTGTCTTGACCTGCATACTGAATTTGACTTTTTTCTTACAGACTATAGCTCTGAGAGTGGCTCCTCTGTCTACTACAAAGAAGCAAGTGGTTTTGTCTCGAAGTCAGTGTCTTGTATGTCAATTCACTTAGATTTTGATGTGTAGATTTTCTGTCTTTTTGAGAGAATGATGCAGAATGGGATGTATTATCAAATAAAAAGCCAGCATAAACATCAGTCTTGATTTGTGGTGTTTCTCACATTGTGCCGGTCTGCAGGAATTTCAGTGCACAGCATCAGATACTACAATCTGATTAGTGATTGGTTTTGATCCTTTCACTATGCTCCTTTGAGCCACCAGAAGTGACAAAACATGAAGGAAAAGACGTTTTTAAGTGCTTTGCATTTCCTAGGATCTTTTAGCAGAAAGAGAGGGAACAATGTATTTGTAACCATTTAGTATCTGTTCAGCTGACATGCCCAGCCCCAGTCTTCATAGATAGTTGAGATTCAGCTTCTTTGACAATTGTCTTTTAGTGAAAGAAGTAAAAAATAACAATCTACATTATCACACAAGGGATAACTTCAGGATTGAAATCTGAGTGCTCACAGCCTGCATGATGGAGAGGGTGGCTGATGGCTGCAGGTGCAGCTGGCATGGCAAGGTGTTCTCCAGTGTGCTTCATCAATTGCAGTTCTCTAAAACGCTGCAGGTGCAGCTGGCATGGCAAGGTATTCTTCAGTGTGCTTCAGCAATTGCAGTTCTCTAAAATCCCCTGTGGTTGTGACCTTCTCTTTTGTACAGTGGAAATGAAGGAGGGAAAACATTCTTTGGCAGGAATTCTGGTGTGGCGAACAGTTTCACCAGGATGTTTAAGTAGAACAGAATAGTGGTCTGACCTGGAAAGAAAAAGGAGGGGAAATATCCCATCTCTCCTGATGTACCTTACAGAATTAGGGCATTCTCTTTTTCCTTTCCTCATGTGATTCTTTAGCTTGTAGTTGACTCTATGTGGCTCCTATGAAAAGTTTTTCTCTTGTGTTTTGTATTGCTTCCTTGAAAACTTTTGTTGCACTTCTCTATGACCTTTTGCAAGCTTCTCTGGGTTTCAAAGGCATAAGCAGTAACCTGGATGTTGAGTGTCTGCATCACTGTGTGTCTGGAATCATAACAGTTGTAGGAAGATAGTGAACTAGGTTGCATTTACTAGCCAGGAGTATGGTGATATAAAATTGAAGCTAAGACCATTCACCTCTTCATTAGCTGTTTAATTATAATCATTAACAAGTGCTGACCCATTCTGTACATCTCAAAACAAGAAGTTGCTGTTAGATAAAGAAAATCATTAACAAGTGCTGACCCATTCTGCACATCTCAAAACAACAAGTTGCTGTTAGATAAAGAGCAATTTGGAAGAGCAAGTTTTAATTACAGAAAAAAAATCCATTGGTTGTACAGATAGTCTTTATAAATTAGCAAAATACCTCCACCAAGGACCAGTGGAAATGAAACCTTTCCTATGAACATTAGCAGTGAAAATATATCGGTCTCTTGGATGTGAACTTGCTTAAATGCCTAAACATAGTAAATTAATCTTGCATTTAAGAAATAAAGTCACATTAACATTTGGATGAAAAGTCAATTGTCTATATTCATCTCAGTTGCAGTGTGTCAAATCTGAGATCCTGGCAGTAGGAAACAGTACATCTTATTTTATTCTTGCCTCCTTTAATCAGGCTAGAGACAGGTGTGCTTTACCTTCAATATCTACTTCATGACTCATCTTACTCTTTATGTGATATGCCTTAGTACACAAAATAAACAGTCCATACCTATATGTATCAAAATTATTTTCAGATCTGATCAAAGTGGGTAAAAAAGAAAGTTATTAGTTTAATATTACTTGGCAACTAATCAAGATTCTGTCTTGATTCACTCATATAGGAGGGTTTTACGAAGTGTGCGCAGGATCAGTTTCACCCGGCCTCGTGTAACTTCATGCTATGCTTACAAATGCAGAAATGCTGTGAGGAATGTGAACTCTTCATTCTGCAAGACAGAGATAGATAGCTGAGGTAGCTGCAAATACCAGAAGAGTCTATAGCACTGTTATTGCCATGCTCTACTCAAGGTCATTAGACCAGAACAGAAGTAATTATCCCAACAAGAGAATTGGATTAATGGTTACACTTCTTCTGGTCCTTTCATGAATAGAACTGCAAACTCTGCAAAAATACACTTTGTGAACCAAAGAGAATGCATCATTCTGAGTAACACCTGCAGATCATGCACATTTTGAGGTCATCTTTTGTGGCATAGCTATTTCTCTCCCTGACTCCCTGACTCTGTCAAGGGCTTTTTCACGTCTTCCCTTTCCTCACTGGTTCAGGGTTCTGTGGTTTGTGCTTGGCTAGAATTAGTCTTTCCACTCTGCCTATGAGAAAAGGGAACATTCTTGTTCAGTTTCAAGATGGAGTATGATCAAAGCAAGAAGGGGTTTTTTTTGCAGAGTTCTTGTTGATCTGTTTTCCAGAGAAGTAGGAACTCGGTGTAGAGCTGTAAGAGGTAAAATGGGCAAATGAAAAGTGCTGATGTAAGAGAGCTTCACAAGAGGAACACTGTAACACCAAGAGATGAGGAGGAAAAAATATCTAGGGTTTGTGTATTTCTTTTTGGTATTCAATTTGCTTTTAGGTTAATATTTTAAAATAAATATTATTTTGTCGCATGCCATATTAAAGTAAGGGGAGAGTACATATCAAAATGGTCTGCAAAATTTCAGCATTTTCAATATGGTCTGTGTCTGTATTTTATCTTTTATTTTCAGTCCAACACCTGCTGAAATTATGGCAAAACATTTAAAATACACTTAGGAAAAAAAAAAGATTTAGCCTATTCTTGCATGAATTAGACTGTATTTCCATGAAAAGTCCTCTGGACTGTCCTTGCAGCTCTTGTTTTATTTGCTGCAATCCTGCTCAGATATTGGATAGATTATATAACTTCTTGAGATGGTAAGTTTTAGCCTAAGCTTTTTCTAATATGCACAAAACCTTGAAGAAGGTTGGTATCACTTGGAAATGTGTGTATAACTCTATTACATTCTTCAAAGAACTGATTACTTTTGGAGGCCATGCCAGGCCTGAGTGCAAGCCTCGTCAAAATGCTCTGTAGTATTGACAATAGTGTGGACCTTGCACAGGATTGCTACCACACTAATTCTATTCTCCTTAAAGAAATTGTGGACATTTCATTTTAAATTTCAGGAGCGTCTTCTGCTTTCTTTACTGCCTGCTCACATTGCCATGGAAATGAAAGCAGAGATCATTCAGAGGCTACAAGGTCCGAAGGCAGGGCAGCTGGAAAACACCAACAACTTCCACAACTTGTATGTCAAAAGGCACACCAACGTCAGGTATTGTGCTGTAATAAAATGTATCAACAACATTCAGGAAAAAAAATTGAAAAGAAAGTGTTAAGGGAGCAATTAAGAAAAGAATTGTTTTAATATGCTTTTCAACAGCTTAATGTTTAGTGTCCATTAATTTGATCAAATGCTGAAAATTCCCTGTTCCAGAAGAGCCACAAAGGTGATAATATGAAAGAGTTGTTTAGAAAAAACCACACATTAACAGGTTTTTTTTCGTAATATTTTCATGTTTCAGGTTAAATGACCAAATCCTGCTATCATTTATCCCAGTCAAAATTGTAATTTGTGTCAATTCTATTATTCTGATTTCGTAATTTTCTTCACTGGAACAATTTCTTAGGTTTTATAGTGTGTAAATTGAGGCATAGGTATTTTACACAGTAGCTGAGATAAAATATTCTGCTGATGGGTCTAATTATTTATTAATTATAAATTTCTAGTAGTCAGAAAAATAACTCACCATTTATTCCAAACATTCTTTCTTCTGTAAAAGTTTGGGGTTTTGTGATTGGACAGTAATTTCCAATTTCCAAGTAATTTCCAAGAATGTCATTCAAACTATTGAGTGACATTCTTGGAAATTACTTTGGTGCAAATATTGCAGGACTTTTGAGGAAGTTCATTTTCACTTGCAAGCTCAAGTCCTCTTTGAAATAATTGCCATTAGCATATTGCTGATTTGTGACTTGGTAAAATATTTCTATTTTTTAATACACTGTACTAAATATAAGTATAGAATGTCTACAAATGCCTATAAATATAGGTATACCTATGAAGGTAATACCTGAGAAGGTAATACCTAGAAAGATAAATATAAGTATGTATTACCTCTAAACACAATACCTGTAAAGGTAAATGTAGGTTTACCTATAAATATACTTGTATTTATTGCTCTACGTTTAGCAGTGGCTGTTTTGGGTACAGACATACCTCTGAAGTCCAGAATGCCTTCTTTCAGGTTTTGCTGTTGACTGATAGATCTCAAGTCCTGCAGGAGGAAACTGTGACCAAGATTCTGTTCATTTCTATTGCAGCATCTTGTATGCTGATATCGTGGGGTTCACTCGCCTGGCCAGTGACTGCTCACCTGGGGAGCTGGTGCACATGCTAAATGAGCTGTTTGGCAAGTTTGATCAGATTGCAAAGGTAAGTTTCTATGGGCTGCTGCTGTTAGTTTAAATAAGTAAGTCGTCTTTAAAATATTTGTTCTTCCTGGAGACTTCAGGCAGCATTTCTGAGATTTTGGCAGGAAGATTGGATTTGAAACGTGTGAAGAAAAAAGTCTGGTACTGGTCTGAGTGCAACCGTGTGTTTCTGCCAGTGACAGCCTGTGAAACCCAAGATAGCTCTCTCTAATAGGACCAATAGAGACAGCTCATGGAGTCCAATAAAACTTAATGGCAGATGAACAGTTCTTTAAATAGACTTTTTACAATAACCAAGATTAAGAAACTCAGGATAGAAAAGTATAAGCCAGTTTTCTGATGTCTGAAAAAGCATTTGAGAGACTGGAGGAGAAGAGAGGCAATTATAATTACTGACCACAGTCTCTTGATTACTCAGGAAAAGATTCGAATACAATCAGAAGATTTTCTTCTGTTCATTTAGGTGTAGTTTTAATAAAAATTACATCAAAAGTCATGTGTGAAGGTGAAATCAGAAACACCAAACCAAAAATTTCATATGTTTTTTATTAGTTCTTGAGAGACTGGAGGAGAAGAGAGGCAATTATAATTACTGACCACAGTCTCTTGATTACTCAGGAAAAGATTCGAATACAATCAGAAGATTTTCTTCTGTTCATTTAGGTGTAGTTTTAATAAAAATTACATCAAAAGTCATGTGTGAAGGTGAAATCAGAAACACCAAACCAAAAATTTCATATGTTTTTTATTAGTTCACTGTTGTCTGTGTGAAGGTGAAATCAGAAACACCAAGCCAAAAAATTAGTATGTTTTTTATTAGTTCAAAAAACTGTTGTCTAGTATTGGCTTAAAATAAATAAAAATCTTTACATTGCCTTAGAGTATAAAATATAGAAATACTATTATGATTGCTGGTTTCTGGAAGTATTCCACAGTGCATCTTCAAAGATATAAGTGTGGAAGGCTAGGTCTTTTGATTTCATATTTCAAACAAAAAGGCTTTATTTAGATTGAGTACATGATATTTTGGCTCAGTTCTTTAATCTCAGGTGTGAACAACACTGCATATATATGTTTTAGTTTTGCCCATTAAGGACCATAACAGATGGAGAGATCATCTGCACAAAACTCTGACAGCACTTCTGTTTTAGCAAGACAAATCCTTCTCTACTGAAACAAGCTTAAGTAGAATGATTTTGCTAATATCATTTAAGTCAATCTTTGTAACAGTAACCCTTTATTTATGTAATTCAAGTTGAAAGTGACCATCTCACCTTGCTTTTTCCTCCAGGAAAATGAATGTATGAGAATTAAAATCTTAGGTGACTGCTATTACTGTGTTTCTGGACTACCTATATCTCTTCAAAATCATGCCAAGAACTGTGTGAAAATGGGACTGGACATGTGTGAAGCCATTAAGTAAGTGCCAAACTTATTGTTAAATATTCAACAATAAAAATCTCTCTTCTATCTGTATCTATGCTACTCTTGAAACATTCAGACCTGCAGTACTTGGCATGTTTCACCACAAGGTCCAGCATGGTAATCTGGGTCTCAGCCTCAGCAAAGAAATGTTTTAAGTTGTTGACTCTGTGATCAGTACACCATAAAGATGATTGATGGCCTGGAACATTGCTCACTAGTAAAGGGAGAGCACAAAGAAGATGGAGCCAGGCTTTTCAGTGGTGTCCAGCGACAGGGCCAGAGGCTATGGGAACAAACTGAAACACAGAACATTTCCTCTGAACATTAGGAAGCACATTTTTCATTGTGAGAGTGACTGAGCACTGGCACGGGTTGTCCAGGAAGGTTGCAGAGTTTCCAGCCTTGGAGATGCTCAAAACCCAACTGGTACAGCCTTAAGCAAACTGCTTTAACTGCCCTGTTTTGAGCAGGAGCATGGACTGGGCAGTCTCTAGATGTCCCTTCTGACCTCAGCTATTCAGTGACTCTGTGATTACAAGATGGTAAATATACCAATAGACATCACTTAGAACTTGGAAGCTGCTTTTTGCAGAGTCACGATGCTGACACTCGCCTGTGAGTCAAACAGCTCTGAGAGAGGCCAGAGCTCCTGGCTCTTGCTGAATCTTGAGTTCAGTGGTGGTCAGGAGGAGTTGCTTATGCAGAATTAAGATGCCTCAAGCCCTGAGCCTGTGGAGTGATTCTCAGCATGTCCACTATAGATGTTTCCAATGGCTTAGAGATTCCTGGGCTGAGAGGCCTATTTCCCATCTTGTCAGATAAGCAATTAAATATGCCTGTATTACTAGACCCCAGGTTAAGGTTTAATTTCACCTTCCCTGTAAAGGTGAGGACTTTCTTAAAAGTTTTGCTGGTTAACATATTGAGAATTCTGTGCTTATTAACAGTATTTTGGATTTGTGGGTGACTCTATGGCCCTAATTTCTTTCCCAATAATAAATGTGCCTGTTCTATCTTTGAAACAGAAAACAGAACAAAGAATTTGACAATCCTAATATGGTTGCATTTGAAATAGCAGTTGTAACGTTTTTCGAGTAACTCAAGTAACAGGAGGCTTGGTATGCTTGTGAAACAGGAAAAAGAAATATGATTGTATCTGGTGGATTAAGACTTGTAAGAAAGCTGAGGATACAGCTACAGGCACACTTGAGGAATCCTCTAGTTTATTATTGAAGAGTAGGTTGGGAATGGACTGTAGGCAACTGGAGCAGTTCTGATGATGACGGCACTTCAAAAAAGTCTTGCAAAAGGGCAGCTTTGCTGCCCTCAGCTCTACATTTGACTGCTGTCAGAGCTCTCAGGGCAGAGTAGAAATAACTCTTTCACAACCTGCCTGCCCTGGCTGAGTTCTGCCACCAAAGCTGGATAAGTTTCAGTATGAAGGTACTTAAACCTAGTTTGGATGTCTGAAGGATCTTAAACCTGCCTACACAGAAACTTGACCTCAGTAGTATAGTTTATGTGTTAAGCAAACGTCTGATTCTGTTAGGCTATTTAGAAAACATTTTGTGGGGAAAGGACAACTAAAAAGCCGTTCACCTCTTTTTTTAACCAAAGTCAGATAATTAATTATCTGTAATTCATACCCAAAGTTCTTTTTTGATTTTAGGGATTAAACTTCTGCAAATGGTTACTTATAGCAGTTACCATTAGTGGCACAAACGTCTATTCTGTAGAAAAACTAAGTTTCCTGTGACTAAAATTCCAGTATGTCTAGGTGAGCTACACTTTGCAAAAAGTATGTATCCTGGTGGAGGTCTGAATATTTGAGAGTCATCTGTGTGATTTGTTTTTCCTAACCAATTGGCCTTTGATTTTAAAATTTGGTATGCTTTTCTGTAAGTTTCAGTTGCAGTTCTGATGTTTTTGCCCAGATCACATTTACTGCTGTCCAGAAATTGGCTTGTCCTTGTGAGGTGTGTGTGTGGTGTGTACCTCATCACGAAATGGATAGATATGTTGAACAGTGTTAATCTCAGTGATTAATTAAATAGCCTTACAAAATTATTCCTCCAATCCATAACTAACTTCATATGTGTGTAATTGTAGTCACAGAAGGGTTTTGCCTCTCAGTTGCCTGGTCTTGTGATTCAATCCAAGGTACTTAGTGTATGGTTGGGTTGATTAGTGTTAATTGGGTTCTTTTCCTTTTAATGTGTTCACATAAAATGTGTGCTATTTGTGGAAACTAGGATTTTGATCTCCTTGCTTTAGTGATCTTTTGCAAAACTAACCCCAGTACAGGAATCAGATTGCTGCATTTTCTAAAATGTTTTTTCTTCATCCATATATGGTTGTACCTTAACACTGTGTCCAAAGAAATCTTTTTTAAATAGTAATTGGATACTTCTCCTTGCCAAGCATTAAAATCTACAGATTTGGTTGTCTTCTCAGTTGCTTTCACTGGATGCTTTCTCTTTTTCAGTTAGATATACTAGAACAATATTATAATTAAACTGTTTGCTTCTCTAGCATATTGGGGACTAAAGCTACTATCTCTTCAGTAGAGCTGTTGGTAAAAGGGTGTCAGTCCTGACGTTTTGGCCCCCCCTCCTTGGTTGGCTTAAAAATGATTGGGTTTTTTTCCCCCCAACCTTTGAGTGAAAATAAGAGCTTTCTGGTTTACATTTCAAAAGATCTGTGTGCTGTGTGAGAAATATGAGTTAAAAGCGTTTGCACAGAGTTTCTGGTCAACCTGTTGCTTTATTACTGAAGAGAAAAAAGTATAGGAGGTTACAGGCTGGTGTAAAAACAATGCTAAGCGCGAGCCATAAAGTGCCCTTCACAAAGAGCCAGAAGTGTAATTTCACACAGCATAATGCGGTGCTTTACTTGAGCACAGAGAGCAATCTGTCAGTTCCTCACACTTCAGAACTTCCCAATTTTCTTTGAAATAACTTTCTGCTCAATCTGCTATCAAGTATGTTCATTGTTAGTGCTATATGATCAGGTTCTCCTTGGTAAGAGCAGCCTTACGGGCTAGAAAATTGTATGTTAGTTGTATGGCATATTTTGATTTGACTTTATTACCGTAGTCAGAAGCCACAACAATCCTGTGGACAGATGTCTGAGTAGCACAGCTTGATACAGAAGAAGTGAGGAATCTGTACCCCATGTTTTCAAATGCTTTCCAAGTATTATGTCAAGTGGTGCAGCCTGCAGGTGAATAAAAATTGCTGATTATTAATCAGCTCCATATTTTGTTGCATGATTGCTTCATCTTTGTATGGAAGCATGTCATGACATACTTATGTGGCCTGTAAAATTAGAAGTAGTAATACTCTTGCTATTGGAAGTGTGTCACTTAATATGTTCGATTCACTCTATCTAAAATACCTTTTTTGTCAGATATGAATCTTTATTATATTCAGTCACTGAGGTGTAAGCTGACCTATCAGTGCCTGAGCTACTGAAATAGAGGAATTTCCTGTTTAGATTAAGACTTCTGTTTGGATTTTACCACCTGAATATGGTTTCAGTTCCAGTTCTCTTTGAAGCAAAAAAGGAGGAATTCTGCCACATTGCCAGGTGATCTGTAGTACAGTCTTATTCAGTCTTGTTACCTAATGATGTGTAGCTCCATTTTGAGCAATTAAGCCTCACTGTGCTATGGATTGTTTCCATTTAAACATGGATCATAGTCCCATTAATTGCTTTGCTTCTCTGCTCTGAGTTGGAACAAATCCAGTGTTTCTTCCAGTCTGCAGCCTGCCTGCCCGGGGTGGGGTGCTTGTTGGAGTGGGATCCGGACCTGGAGAAACGATGAGTCTCAATATGAGTATGGTCGTTCTCCTTTATTCTTAGTACTTACAAGATATATATAGACATTCACACAGAGTACGCGAACGCAGCGGATACATGATTGGTTTATTGCCCCTGTCCAAGTGTCCAGGGCAAACTTATGATTGGAGCAAGCAGGTGTCTGTCCACATTCCAGGATGTTCTCAGGAATTCCAGGGAGCTTGTTGACACCAGACTCAGAGCCGGTCAGAGCCAGCTCTGCCAGGCAGAGCTCGCTCCTTATCAGCAGGTTCAAGGCTCAGTCACAGCTGCTGTAGGCCTTACACCACACTACAAGCTGGGTTGTCAGCTCCAAGGAAATCATGTCCCTTTTCGCAGAGCCATTCCTCCACAGGTGCTCACCTTATCAAGCCACTGATGCCAGTGCTTACCTTAACTGGGTGCTTCAAGGCTAGAACTTAATCTGTTAGGGCAAAATATCTTTGTGTGTGAATATGTGTTGTTTTCCTTCAGCCCATACTCCACTCCCTTGTCTGTCTCATGACTTCCTAATTTATGTGTTTCTCGGCCACACGTTCTCAAGGACTGACTTTGATTTGGTGGCATGAAATGAGTTCCAGTTCAGAGGAAACTGAAAGAAACTATTGGATGAGATAGTTATACCATTTTGAACTCTAGATACAAAACAAAAGGATTTTTTTAGGCAGGATTTCATTCCTGCAGGTCTGATCCAAAAGGGCACTATGTTTTTAAAGCTGGCAGTTTGCAGGGGACTAAATGATCAAGGTTCACCAATTGTGCTAAAGTGTGTAAGACAGGACTAGGTGAGTCTTACATATCTTGGTCCAGAATTAGAGATTAATAAAGCTCAGGTAAAGAGAGTAGATGACCTGAACTCTTGCTTGTCTGGAGTATTCCTACAGCTGCCTGTAAGCTAACTTATACTCTGAAAAAAGTATAATCCTTACAAACTCAAATTTCAGGTTGCAATAGGAAAAATACAGTCTTGATGAGTATTTTGACTGCCTAGCCAGGATGGGTACAGACTGTGGTGTGCTGAGGGAAACCAGAGAGACTGTGGAAGCAGAAAATGAAATAAAAGCGAGAAGTTTCAGATATATTTGTGTAGGTAAGGCAAGTGTCCTATGGGGGTGTGATAAACTACATTCTTAGATGCATTCAGTGCCTGCGTCGTTATAGCAATTGCTCAAGGGGCACAGGAGAGAAGAAGTAGTAAAGCCTAATTTGGTCCAGAATAACAGTGGTAATTTAAAGCCTTCTGTGGTTTCTTTAATTTGTGAGACAGAAGAAAAGATTCAGTTCTGGTACATATTCTACTTGCTCCCCTCCTTAACTCTTGAGAGCTTATTATAAAGCAGACTTTATTCTGCTTGCTCTGCAGAATATGGCAGGGCAGCCTTTCAACAAGCACTCCTAGAGGATAAATGTTCCTCTTCCATTCTCCTGGAGGATAAATGTTCCTTTTACATTTTGCCCAGTTTTGTAAAACACTTTTTTTCTGAAGTGCTAAGCTTGTGTCATATTCCCTGTGCAGAGCAAAGTGATGTTTGTCATTTGCCAACTGCTTACAAAGATCATTTACAGGCAGTTCATTTTCAAGTGTGTCAGCTGCACAAGAATGGTGTAAAATGGCAAAGTGAAAAGAAATACCAATAAACACTTGATAGAGATTCTTTCAGTCAGATAGAAATTCTCTTCAGAATTTCAATTAAAATTCTTTCAGTCATGCTCCTGTTACTTTCATTTCCCAGAAAAATAACACTTGAGAGCTCCTGCCTAAATGTAAGATTTACCATATCAAATTAAGCTTGTTAAGTTCAATGTTCCCTTTCAAAAAATATAAGAAATAAGAGAAACAGGCGAGCTTAATTCAGTAATTAAGAAGGTACAGAGCTGATGATTCTCATCCCTGAGATTGAAGATATTACTAGAACTATGAACCTGGCATGTATGCAGGAGCCATTTGGGTTCCTTATTCTATAGCTGTTTCTTCCATTAACAGCCTGAATTTCTCCAAGATAAATGCATGTGCATGTTCCTCATTACTGGTTAGTTTTGGGTCCACATGAATTAGGGTTTAAATGCATAAATCCATTATGATCTTCCCGTTTCTTAGAGCTGTATAAGCCTGTAGATATCTGTATTCATTTCATAACTCTTTACAAACACAGTTAGGTACTCATATGACACATGTCAGAAAATATTCTGGTTTTTTGACCTTACTCACCCACCTGTGACTCACAAGAGCTTCTTCTGGAAAGATAAATACCTATATTATATGTAGGGTGCTTCTGAGATTTGGACTGGGGTGATCAGATGCTTAACTCTGTCACTGGAAAGGTCAGAGGGTTAAATGTGGTCTGGACAGTGAGTGTGGCCTTTGATTCACTAAATGATGTTCTAGTGGGTACAGCATTCACTAAGCACATGGTAGGCTGTTGAGCCTAGGTTCTCCACAGCCTGAATGACACTGAACCCGTATCCCCAAAGAGTGTACAAGCCCCAGCTGGCAGAATATCCTGAGGTGCTGCCTTTTTCATCCTTCCTCACAGACATGAGAGATATGAGAAGGTCTCCAGCGTAAATATTATGATCTTCAGATAGAAGAGTGCATAATAGTAGTTCCAGATCTCCAAAAGCTGCCTGTAGGACAAAAATAGTCCTTTTTTTTTACCATGAGATCAAATATTTATACTGCTTAGCTCAGCCCTCCCAGAAAATTTCAGATGAGTATAAAATAAGGAGCTTCAGACATGGACTTGAGAAGTAATATTTCTGCAAATAGTTGCAGATATAGATATTAGGAAAGGTAATATATCATCCTAGCATAAAAAGAATGGAGGCAATGCTGAAAAGGAGGAAATGTTCGTACTGTTGTTACTGCTTATTCCATAGAATGGTTTGGGTTGAAAGGGACCTTAAAGATCACCTAGTTCCAACTCCTCTGACACAGGCAGGGACATGTCCCACTACATCAGGTTGCTCAAAGCCCCATCCAACCTGGCCTTGAGCACTTCCAGAGATAGGACATCCACATGATTTGGCTGGTAAATTATAAAAAAAACCCGAACTAAAGGTCCTATTATGTATATTGACAGAGATTTTCTTCTCAACTGCAGGAAAGTGAGAGATGCAACTGGAGTTGATATTAATATGCGTGTAGGAGTGCACTCTGGGAACGTGCTGTGCGGTGTCATTGGGCTGCAGAAGTGGCAGTACGATGTGTGGTCGCATGACGTTACTCTGGCCAATCACATGGAAGCTGGAGGAGTCCCAGGGTAAGAGGCTTCTCTGTTAATCGTTGGACATGTGGATTTTTCAGTCATGGAGAAATGATAGGTACCATGCCTTAAGCCATCAGCCTTCATGGAGATGCCTGAACTAATTCTTAGTGCTGTCTTTAGTAAAAATGTAAAAGGGGGCACTCAGTATTTCCTGTGATTTAAGGACTGGGGGTTTTTTGTGGATGGAAACCTTTAGACATATCCCCAATAGAACTTATGAAAATTAGATCAGAAGAACTGTAAATGAAGTAGAGCAGCATATAAAAGGTATGACCAAAAAGCTGATAAAAAAGGTTGATCAGGTTCAAATTATGCTTTTGATCGGTATTTGTGATTCTGTCATTCTTTTAAAATATGATTTCAGCCGTGTTCACATCACCTCAGTCACCCTGGCACATTTGAATGGAGCTTACAAAGTGGAAGATGGGGATGGAGATGTGAGGGACCCATATCTGAAAGAGCATAATGTTAAGACTTACTTTGTAATCAATCCTAAGGTTAGTAGTACTTTTATCTTGTGGCCAGTCATAGTTATTTTTGAGCAGGACCACTAATCTCTTTATTGAATAATTCACTAGCATAAGATATTGATCAGAGCTATTACTGATGCCGACAAATACATAATGTTTGCATTGCAAATCTTTCCCGCTCTTCAGAAATAAGTCTCTGATATTTCCCAGCAATATCATTAAGAACTGCAGGTTCTTAGCATCTCTCCATTTTTACGTTCCTAAGCATGCGAATATGTGGTACCAGATGATGCTCTGCTGCTTCAAAAGGTCATGAACACAAAGGCTGACACCACCTTTTATTCTCTGTCGACCAGGGAGAGAAGCGAAGCCCTCAGCACCACATTCGACCTCGGCACACTCTTGATGGACCCAAAATGAGAGCTTCTGTCCGCATGACCCGGTACCTGGAGTCTTGGGGAGCAGCCAAGCCATTTGCACACTTGCACCACAGGGACAGCATGACCACTGAAAACGGCAAGATAAGCACAACAGTAGGGGCCTACTTATGTCATTTCATACAATTTAGCAATATTTGAAAAGAAAAAGGTGCTCACTGCTAAATACCTGGCTATTTCTGATAAAAGAAGATACACGTTTATACAGGGCATAAGCCCAGTGAAGTTTCTGGGAGCTCACATTGGCATGTGAGCTTTGAATTAGATTCTGCAGATCCATGTCTTCCTATAAGTGCATCTCTGAATTATAAGGAGTCCAACCTATTACCTAAAATGCACAATCTGGTCCTCTGAGCTCTGACCCCCCCAAGTCACAGCATGTACAGTGGCTGCTGTTCACCTTGTGGAAAGATATTTTAAACATAAAGCTGGCATGCAGCACCTTGAGGAAGGAAGACTTCTAATACTGAGAAATTCCTTGAGATTTACTGACTGTTTAGCTACATTCTCCTTTTGGAACAATGCCAAACCTGGAGCAAAGGCTGTGAAGTGAGAATAATCCCTGTGGTACCTGGAGTGGACTTTGTTCAGAGTACTCCAGGAACCAAATCCATCCTCACTGTGACATCTAGTTTTTGAAGGTGCACCTAGCACTCATTAGCTATGGTTGATGGCCTGAATTTTAGAGTACTGTAGTGCAGTGTTGTATCTCTTACACTGAACAGATTTCCTTTTAATTTCACTAATACTATTCTACTGCTGTCAGTAAGATGCTTGTACATTGCATTATCATCTGCTTCTAAAAAGTGAGAGCATAAAGGTAAATTCTAGTAGTCTTCAATGTTGGCATTCAGCTTTGTTCTGCTACACATGAGAACATAGGATTGCGCCACATAACCCTTCTTGTTCAATAAACACAGTGCATCAGAGTGTGGATTGTGACACGTTCATTACAGAAAGTACCCAGCCATCACTATTAATCACAAAATAAATGAGGCTGTGATGGCTGCTGCTGCTTATTAATAAAAAATAATGACCATTGTCTGTGTTTGGCCACTCAGGACTGTTTTTTTCAAAATCACTTAAGGTTGGTTTTTGCAAGAGTCTGGGTTACATCCAAACAATGATGATGTTTAAGCAATGCCTTTTTAGGAAAGCAAAACATTCTTGGATTCAGACTGTTGTATTAGTTACTTGGTTTTTGTAATGGTAGATCAGTTTTTCTCCTGGTCACTACATCTTCATTCTTGGCTGGAGTTTTCTTTTAGACAGTTTTAATCTAATGCTAAAAGGATTTGTATTGGAAACTTTTCTCCTTACTTGACCCTGTTTTCAACACTATGTTTAAAGCAACTTAATGTCGTCAAAATCTATTATAATTAATAAGGCTTGGGGTTTTTTTTTGTTTTTTAGGATGTTCCCATGGGACAATATCATTTTCAGCGCTGCAGAGAGAGGTAAATGAGTTTTAAGAAATTACTTATTCATATAAAGTCCATGTAAATAATAGAGATTCATATGCTTTCAAATATTGAGGGCCAGTTCTCAAACTGTTTTTTCAGCTGATACCTTTTACATAGAGAAGAGCTATGGAAACAGATTTGGCAGACATGTTACTTATGAATTGCAAATGTACTTCCTGCTAACAAATAACATTTTTCTGAATTGGTATGTTGGTAAGCTACTATTCGTTTCTCCTAACAAACCATTTACTCTATCAGTGGGAAGAAAATTATATTCAGGAAAATTAGGAAGAAGCACAGAGGGGTAAGAAAAGGGAAGATGGAAAGGGCAGTTAATAATTTGCCTCTCAACAGGTAATAATATGTAGTAAAAAGACATTTTATGTATTTAATTGCTTTGTATTTGCATTGTGTTTTATTATTTCAAAGTTCTTAGTATGTTTGCAGTTGTAAACCTCAAAACGTATTTTGTGGTCTTCCCATAGTGCTCCTGCTACACAAAATGTTTGCAAGATCACAGTGGCTTAAAGTTTTCATGCTCTTGCTTGGTACTTCGATGATTAGGGCAACATGGTGAGAAATGCAAGCAGGGTTGGATGGCATTTATTTAAAAAACAAGCTTAGCACTGTCAGAAATCTGGAATGGTTAATTTTTATTTTAATGACCTGGTAATACTTCAGGTAATGAATTTCCTGCAAAATTATAGCATGACAAATACTGTAAAATCATTTGAAAGAACCTTTAAACTATTTGTATTCCTGTTGCCTTTGGTTACTGTAGGGCTATGCAATTACCTAAAACACTGCTTCATTCCACAAGATGAGCAAGTTTTGACTGAACATGAATGATATTAATAAAAAGAGCCTGATTTTAAAACTGCACATTTACATTTAGACAGTATGTCCAAAGGACTTCTGTCAGCTCATGAAAGATCATTGGACTGTGGCATTTGCAAATAATGCAGTTCATGAAGATTCTGATGTGTTCTTGCTTTTGTGTTTCTAAAACTGTGCTTCAAAATAGACACAAAAGGTATTATCATGTGCTTTGATACCATATTATGGAAGGAGCTTCTATAAACCATTACTGGTGTCTGATGCCCATAGTGAGATAGACATGTAATGAGGATTCTAGATAAGCTAGTTAGTCATTCCCACAGGAGAGAGCTGAAATGATAATAATCACTTTGCAAATCATTATTTCATTAGAATATGAAAATGTAGGGTTTGAAGTCAGACTGTAGGCTTCTGTTTGTGGCAGTCCTAGCTCTTATCTAGTTACTCAGTAGTCTTGAGTTGCTTAAGGGTCTGCCAAGAGGATTAAGTGTGATTAGACAATGTCTCCTCATTTGTCTCTTTATTTCTCCCAGATCGTTTCATATGTGAAAAATAAGTTATAAGCACTTTCTTATTTGCTATTCAGTATCACTGAATAGGCATGAAATCACTTGTGTTTTGAAAGTTATTTAAGTACACTGATAAAATGCATGTGTGCATTTGAATCCTGCAACAGGTTCTCAGTTTTGGGGAAATAACCCAAAAACTTGAAGGAAATCCATGTTAACTTTGACAGGGTTCAGTTCGTGGGTTGAGAACATTTTGGTAAGCAAAAGAATCAAACTTCAGACCTGACTGTTGACTTCTTGCAAACCTCTGTTATTAAGCTAACACTGAATTTAAGGTTTCAAAAGACAGAGACATAATCTGTCAGTATTTGAAATACTCCATTTTTTAGGAGAGTGCAACTACTGAAAGGATTGGTGATGTTTGCACTAACGTATTAGTAAAGACAAACCCATTCTGGTACTACCTGTTGGGTTCATGCTGAGCCCAGTAAAGACAAACCCATTCTGGTACTACTTGTGGGGTTCATGCTGAGCCTAGTCAAAAGAAAAGATGCTTTTATTATTGCACATGAGTTACAAGTTGTAAATGGGATGTATGTTTGAAACTAATTTCAGAATTACTGCTCAGTTTTCTTACTAAAAATAATAGAAGTATTTCCAAAAAAAGAAGAGTTAGCAGGCTTTGGTAGAGAAGTTTTCTTATTAAAAATAAGTAAAGTATTTCCAAAAAAAAAAAGAGTTAGCAGGCTTTGGTAGAGGATACCTGTTATGCTTCAGTGCACTAGCACATTGTGCTCATCATACAATTCTGGAAAGTTTTTTAAAAATTAACAACAAGGAACAGGAATGTTTTATGAATTTGAGCATATTTACCATTCTTTTTCATTAATTCTTAGCACTGTGGAAGACTTTCTTTAGACCAGAATTTCTTGACCTCTTTTTGTTTGGGTTTTTGTTTTTTTATTGTGACATGTTTTCTTGCATTTTAAATGCTTCACAATAGCTAAACTCCAGATTTGTGAGTGTGTGTGTGAGTCAGACTTGTAGCTTATGCTGTTTTTGTTAAGAGCTTATTATGAAGTTTAGTGTGCCTTATGCCTCTATCTGCTGTTGCAGTATAAAAGTTAAAATATTGTTGCTATCCTCACACATTTATACTAGCTATTGTTTAATGTTTGTTAGCAATGTAACGACTTTGCAAAATAACTTCCCACGTTTTTCATTTCAGAACGAAATCACAGAAAAGGAGGTTTGAGGAGGAACTGAATGAGAGGATGATCCAGGCTATCGATGGGATCAATGCTCAAAAGTATGTTTTTATCCTCTCTTGTCTCTAGCCTTTCCAGCTTTGACATAAATCTGCAACAGAGAGTAATGTGTACATTTTTTTTGCTGCCACATGCACACCAAAGTCTGAAAACAGCAAAGGTGTCGCTAATACAGGCATAGGAAGCTGTGCACATTGTGAAGATAGGCTGTACAGTAACATTTTCTGCTATATGAGATAAGACAGTGCCTCTGAATTGTGGTGCAACAGAAGTTTTGGCTTGTCTTGATCTTCATGGCAGAGAGATTTTTGCTCTGTAACTCTACAGAATTATCTGAGAGCAGAGAAGTCAGACACAAGGAATAACTGGCTCAGGAATCAGAATGGTGTGAAAATTGATGCTTCGCAATTGTCACAGAAACAATTTCTCAGAATTAGAAACTTTCCTTAAAATCATAGTTTAATATATCTCTGTTCAGCTAGTTGGTTGTCTTAGAGAAGGCTAATCTTGATGACATATTGAAATTGCTGGGGGAGGCAACCTGGCATGTATTTTTTCTGTGTCCTAGGAAGAACTAGAGGCAGTATTGATGTTCTCTGTTTGCTGGTGAATAGATAAGACTAAGAGAAAAATCAATATCAGCCCAAAATAAGTGTTCAGACTCCTTACATTTATCTGACGAAATAAGGGAATTGCCCTTCAAAAATGCAGACAATAATTGTGTTTCTTACTATTCTGTTATGCAAAATCTTAATCAGCTGAGTATTATGCCTAATTATTGAATGATCATATATCACACTTGAGGGTTTTTTGCATCTTTTAGTCCTATTAAATGGTACTTAGTTTTAAGAAAATATTTTTCAGTAGTTATAGAAAAGAGTGTTAGTAGTTATAGGTCATAGAGAGAATACAGTGCAAGAGGTTTGGTCATGTGATAGGCAGAGCCTTTTGATTATACTAGACTTGGCTAAAACAGCTATATATATTTTGGCAGTTTTTATGTGTCTTCAGGTACACTTGCTCTGGTAAGTGGATTGTAAAAATGATGCTTTGATGTCAAAAGTAAAGCTTCTGTATAAATGCATTAAAATATTGGTGTGACTGTACTGTATGTTGTTTGATCTCGGAGAATCCTTGTCTTATCTAATTAGCACATAAAATTCAGAGAAACTCGAGAATAAAAAAGGTTTCTGAAAATGTTTCAGTGCATTTTTGAATTACATGGGGAATTGCAGAAAGGTACTTGGTCTTATATATCAGAAAGTCTGAATGCCACCTTCCATAACTAGATTCTCTACCTATCTCTGTATTGATTTTCTTGAACAAATCTCTTAAAAGCTGTGATTCAATTGGATACCTGAGAATAAGTTGTCAGAAGTGCTGATTCCTCAAACAGCAGGTAAATTCAATAACATTTTAACTATGTGAAGTCTAAGAACTCAGAAAAGTGAAAGAAAATATTTCCTACATTTAGGATACAAAATTAATCACATTTTTGTTTTCTTTATAATTGTGCATATTTATCAGGTATAAAATGAAAATGACATTATCAGCTACAGTAATAAAGTGGTTGTGGGGCTAAATCATTTGCTTTTGTGAATCAAGAGGCAAATTTTAAGAAAATTTATGAGAAAACTCATATTTCTAAATGTTTTAAAGTGTGAAGTTTCGCTTGTATAGCAAATAGGTGTATGACTGAATTAAGAAAATGTTAAAAAATTATTGTACTTAAAATATGGTGTTAAAAGTACCATGTGTTTGTCCTTTTTATTTCGAAAAATGCATAAAAACAATTCAAAAGCAAGCAGTCATTGCACAGAGCTATGTTTCTACCACCCTGAGCTGTCAGCATGGTCTGATTTTTTCATCCACATCATGGTTCTTTGCCATGTGTCATTCTGTGAAAAAAGTAACTGGTTGCAAGCAAATGGTGATTTTATGTGGGTCTGTGGAAATTACATGGCCAAGTATTTAACAGCCAGTAACTGGAAGATAAGGAAATGTAAAGTCTGGATCTTCTTAGTCCAAGAGAATGCTGTAGTCCAAATCACTCACTGTTTTTACACAGTGTGGTACACGTTGTGATGGTACCTCAGGTTTTTAAACAAATCAAATTTTGGCATCTAAAAAGCAGCCCACGGGCCTTACAGCATGATTCAGAGTTGTAGACTTAGTTGGCAATGTTCCCTGCAAAGTCACATGATGAAAGTTATGACCTGTTTATTTAATATTATTGTCATAGAGCACTACATTAAAAGATAACATAAATACAGATTTAAAAGAGTGAGCGAGGAACAAAGAGCTTCTGTCTCTCAGTTGAGTGCCTTAGCCATTAAGGTGTAACTTCATACTTTCTCCATGTATTTCTTTATCCTGTACCTTGAATAAAGTACTCCTGGCTGCAAAGTGCCTGTTCTGCACAGGAGGGGGATGAGTAGCCATGGCTATGCCATCCCAAGACTTGATGGTTGGGGAACTTTTGTAGGACATATGATGGATGGATGGCAATCTGCTAGCTAAATATATACCTACAGAGGAGGCTAAGCTAAAGCTAATTGGTCTGTGATAAGTAGGTTACTCTGTTAGACACACACTCTCTTTGCTCTCTTTTTTCTTCAAGTCACAGCAGCTGCTATGTTCTGTGCATAATTCCTTGCTATACATTGTCAGTCAGTACAAGCCCTATGAAAGCATACACCTCTGTGGATACAGGCAGAATTCAGCTGTCTGGCTGTGTTGTTCCTGGAACTGCAAAAGTATTTAAGCAGAAATTTGGTACCTAGCTTCTCAGGAGACATATCCCCATGTACTTGCAAATACTCTAGTAACTTTTGGGCTCATCAGGGAGTCAGGCTGGAGGCAGAAGCTTTCAGCCCTTATCGCTCTGCCAAAGCTATGTGACTGTGCTCCTTCTTAATCTCCACTTCCATTTGTTTGTGTTGTACTCTTTCCTTCATCTCAGACCTCTCAGCACCTGCTACCTAAAATGAGTATAGTTATTTTTCTGAGCTTCAAAGAAGAACTAAAAGCTTCTGAAAGCATGACCTTGTGATGTGGAGTATGAGATAGCACTACTGACTTCATGTGCGATCAAGTGTGTACAAACTAAATTAGGCCTTTGGGAGTAGGTCTGCAAACTTTTTGGCAGTGTGGTAATGGTAATTAAATCAATCTGCCTGTCAGATACCATAAAAAAACCCAGGAAATTAATTAACTCTTTGGGGAAGAGGATTACTTTATATGTGATTTTTATAAGTAAAGGGAAAAAGACTTAGATTTATGTAATTTTCAGTTTGCCAAAAATTTTCTAGAAACAAAATGTTTTCTGCAGTAGATTACAGCTGAACTCAAACAAAATCATGATATATATATACACCAGCCTATCAGGTATGTTTCTTTTCAGAATACTGTGATCGGATATAGATGGGAGCCATTGCAGAGCAAACTGAGAAATATATTTTTGAATTAAACATTCCTAGAACTGAATATGTTTACAGCCCCTTCTTATAATTAAACTGATTACACAAGAACAGGGACAGTCTCCCAGCAAGGAAACAAATATTTTTGTGTCACGAATCAAAGCTAACAGGTCGCACTCCACTCTGTCCACTCCTGTTCTCCAGGACCTTAATTTAGGATATATTCCACTTACTTGCATTGCAGTCTGTCAATTGAGACATTCCCTTTTATTTAGAAGGCATTAGCTCCACTACTAGCTTAGAGCCTTTTTTAAAGTTATTGCTGGAAAGGTTGCAGAAAATCTCAGGCCCTGCTACTATTGTTCAAGCTCAAATATTGCATGTCCACAGAATTAGTCTGCTTAATTAATTTTTTGTTCCAATTTGTCTAGTGCCCTTGAGATACAAGCAGCCTAACCCTCTTGAAATTTAAATATTCTGTATCTTTTCAGGTGTCCATTAAAATGAATGTTAGAACATTTTATTTTGCAAAAGTTATGTCAAGCTTTTGTCAAGATTCACTTATTTAAAACAGATTGGTCCTTTCAATGCAAGTACTTAGAACATTTCTCATCTTTAACCAGGGAAGAAGTTTTTGTAATCAGTAAAAAGATCAAAATTTACCTCTGGGTCATGGTTAAGAGACTGCTGCAGTTCAAAGACAAAGTCACTCCACCTCTTTTAATAACATTTGTTACATTTTCATTTGCAATTGTAGTTCATGAAGTGTAATTTACCTGCCACTTGCATATTATAGGAGTAAGTAAGTCTCCTAAAGGTGCCTTGTGAAGCACTGTTTATATGTCAGGTTCTCTCCTGTCCACTGGATATACTACAGTATTTTGGATATTAGTGGAATATCAGAATTACATCATATAAATCTCTAACTTGGTTCTCCTTAGGAATCATCCGCAGGAAAGAATTGTTTATCTAAGCTTTTGTTTCATGTCTACGTTAGCAGTAGAAGTCAAAAAAGAGAGAGGATTTGTAGTTTCCAATTTTACTGTCAGTGCAGTTCACCATGTACATTGCAATATAAAAGAGCTTGCTTTATTCCAAGTGATTTCCATATTTTACTGCATTTCAGTAAAATAAAAGGATTGGACTACTTTAATCTTATGTCACTGATAACATTCCTTTTCTCTTGTAGGCAGTGGCTTAAATCTGAAGACATTCAAAGAATATCACTTCTTTTCTACAATAAGACTCTGGAAAAAGAAGTAAGTTATTTTCTCTGCAAATTTATGGTTGATTTGACTCATTCTAAATGAGGCTTGTATCCCTGGCTCTTCAACACAGAGCTATGTCCATACCATCTCTCCTGCAGGGAGTAGTGCTCAAACCTTACAAGAATATTTTAACTCACTTACAGAAGAAATTTTATGAATGTGATGTCTGAGACTACTTTCCTGTTTGTAGGGCTATGCATTTCACTTGAATTTCTTGAAATTTTTGTGGCCTCACAGAAGTGGGAGGAGGTTTGAGAGTCCAAATTTGATGTAACCAGAACAAAGGATTGCCAAGTTCCATAGTGTATGTCTCAAAAGGCGTTTGTCAAACTGCAGTAGTTTTGGTTGGATTTCTTTTGCAATGCCTCAGAGACTCCACCTGTAGTAATGATAGACTTGTAACAGTATCAGTTGCTCATTAGTTTTCTCCATGTGCAGTTTCTGCTCACAGTCATTCTTGGGAAACAATTCTGTAAATGTTTTCTTAGAAAAACACCTAGCTCTTTTGGATGCAACAGACCAAATGTTCTTCTGGCTGATATGTGTGATAATACACATTTATGTATGTAGAGTAACTGATACTGTTTCTATACCTTGGAGTAACGATGTTGGAGAACGAAAGATTCCTCCATTTTAGGTGGCTGACATGACCACTGGCCTGAAAAGTCAGGGGTTTTCATTGTTTTATGGCCCTGTAGACCTTGAGTGTATTTCTACATACTGATGCATCTTTAGCAGGAAGACTGGAGAGTTGCCTATTTCTGCTTTCTCATAAATGTAGGGCAGATGATAGCTGGACAATTATGCTGTCCTTCAGAGAAGTAAGAGATAGGTTTGACCACAACTAGCTGTGTAAATGGATGAACCTGTTGAGAATGGGCTAGAGGAAGTATTACCGTACTGTGTTCACACTGTACAGCAAGTATCCTCTGTGTCCCATGTGGTGGTCAGATACATATTGGATTATTTTTTAGATATCTTTCAGTTCAAAGTGTCTGAAACTTTCACAGCTCAGCAGAACATGGCCAGCTGACAAAGGCATGTGTTGTATGCCCTTGGCAGGCATTAAAGTGGAAAAAGTTTCAAGGCTCCTTGAGCCTGTTTCAAAGCTTCATAAGAGAGAAGATGTTAGACCTGCTGTGTTCTCATCCATAATGTTTAAATGACACACTGTGTGGATCGGAGCTGTGCCTAGGAGCACATCAAGATTTTAATGTGGGTGGTGCTAACCAATAAATTCTGAAAGAGAACTTGAGAGAAAACTGTCATATCTGCACTTTGGACAATGACTTGGGAGAAAATTCGGGAACAAAGTTATTTGGCTGTGTAGATGCTTCCTGTAGAAGTCAAATCTCTTTTAGATGTAGAATGGTATGGCACAGTGAAGAACTAATTGTTCTTTTTGGATCCAGCTTTTTAATATCTCTCTTCATTGCCTTTTAATGACTAACCAGTCCAGTCTGGACTTTAAAGAACTCAGTAAGAAGTTTGCTTTCGATTTAAACAGAAACTTTTCAAGCCCTGTAGGACCTGATCGTAAAGCAAAATAATTGTTTGACCTGAGAAGTAAGTTGCCTGCCTACATTAGGAAACATCTGGGGAAGTGTGAAACACTGAAATAAATTTAAAAGTGGGTTGAAATTCTATGAGATTTTAACAGCAGCTCAAGGTCCAAAATTGTTGAACAAGACCATAATATACTCAACAGGTGAGAGAGCAGAACTTGATGCAAATGTGCCCATCAAGCAAAGTCATATTTGTGCCTTGAAATTCAGTTAGGTATGTGATAAGAATTGCTTTTACTTTGTTGTACAATTCAAAAGTCAATTTCTACATATTGATGTAAAGTTTGGTGCGCCAGTTTCAAAGGTAGAACTTGGAACTAAGCACAAAGGCACAGCTGTGTGCTTGCAGTGAGGCACAGCTTATGCACTTTCCATTTTCTGAAGTCTGCATTTTGAGCCCTTTGTGAAAATAGTCTTCGGTAATTAAATCTTAAACTTTTATCCTTTGAAAAAAAACTTGGATAGGGTAAGTAACTTTAATAGCTACTTAGATCATTTCCCTTTGAGTACTTAATTGGTTTCATTCTGGATATATCTATCTCAAATAGCAGAACAACTCTGATAAATATTTCATTGCTTAATTCTCGTGTCTCTAGACAGACTAATTAGAGATAAATAGATTTTTCTCATGACAAAACAGATCAAATTGACTCTCTCCTAAGAATATCAAGTATTTAGTAGCACCAGTGGATATATGAGGCCTTTTAACACAGACATAAAATATTTTAATTGAAGTAATAATATAGGTCCAGTAAACATCAGTGTGATTGCTGGCTATGCTCTGGAGCACAGTTTACACTTTGCTGCTTTTTGTGTTCTTAAGTTTCCTTTCTAAATGACTGTTACTTTTTTAATAATTGTTTCAGTCCATTTAGTTTTTATCATTAATTGAAAATCAGTTTGAGGAATTAATGACAAAGAATCTTGGAATCTGTTGAGAATGGTTGGCCGTTCCTAAAAATATTTTTTAAAACGCTTTCACTTTTTTTGTGTGTGTGTTAATTAATCTTTTTGTCATGAATTCAAGATAGTCTGTTCAGTGGAGGAGCAAGGCAAAGCCATTAGACATGGCTACTTAAGCTATTCTTTAAGAAGTAAAAGGATTCACTGCTATGCCTGATAATCTCTGCCCCTATGTGAGTGGATGTGAAGTCATTGAAGAACAGGAAATTTACTGTCGGTAAAGACTACCTATACATATGTTCATCTTTAAGCTGAAATTTCAGTTGGATGATCTTTTATTTGCTTTGCCAGTTGTGTTTTTAACATTTGGGTTTTTTTTCTTCTAGTATCGAGCAACTACTCTGCCTGCATTTAAGTATTACGTGACTTGTGCCTGCCTCATATTCTTCTGCATTTTTGTTGTACAGATTCTGGTATTGCCAAAGTAAGTGGTGTTAAATGTGTACTCATTCCTATGTATATTTTGCTCATTAGTGGGAAAAAAAAAGGTGTAAGTAAAAATTTTGGAATTGTCAGATTGCAGAGGTCAGTTTGTGGAAATGAAGAGAGAAGGCTGAAGATTTCAGCCCATTTTCAAAGTTATGCTTGTTTCTAATTTTCAGTGCCGTCAATAGTATGATGCCAAATGTTAATGTAAATTCTTTATTCGTTTTAGTTTTTCTCTTTGCATTTAAAAATGTGTGATGATGACAGGAATTAATTTGTACACATAAAAAAAGTAATACAAGCTATGTTTGTGCAGCTAAAGTGACATGTAGAATAAGTATGATGGTTGGATGTTGAAGTGGGATAAAATGAATGGCAGAGCTGGAACTACGGTAAATGTATTTAACATATCACTGTGCTACTATATAAGTAAACTTCTATATGCCAACTATACTGCTCTATTAAGCATGAAGACAGAGTATTACTATTCATAACATGTATCTTTTAAAAACTAATTTTATAATATTACATTCAATTTCTGGAATCATTATTTTCATCAGAATTTATGCATTAGGAGCCATGCTTATTAATCAAATATCTTTCTATCTCTAGAAAGACTGAAAACTGGAAGACAGTTCCAGTAAAGAATGTTTTATTAGACTTCTTAAATTGGAATTTTGTTGTTGATTGTTTACATAGTGGAAAGTTGATATTTCTTTCATAGCAGTTGTTTCTAAAGCCAACATTGTATATTCCCTTAACTCATAGTCTTTTCTCCTGTGCAGTGCTTTGAGAGTATTACTTAACACCACAGTTGATTGATTGGTCTTGTTCTGTAGTATTTACTGACATTTTAATTCAGAGTGAGAGAGAACTGTTAGGTCATTATAAATTGACTTTCTACACTGCAGACTTGTTTTATAACATGTGTAAAGTTTTATAGACTTCTATTGAGATGTTACAGCAGAGAGTTGCCCAGGTAGTTTCTAACATGGTGACACCAGCCACCAAGGGACACTCTTCCAAGAGTTCAGCAGTGTCCTACACATGGTTCAGTCTGACTTTAGGCATTACTATTGAAAAATGGGAAATTAAGACACATGGGTTTTGTCATTTGTCATTTTGCATGATGAGTATATTTTACAAGCTCATTCTGTATTTTCATGAGTACAGGAATTAACGCAGGGGAATTCATGGTTTGTGATACACCAAAAGCTAAAGGTGGATCTAGCTTGTCCCTTCCGGCAGTATAATTTATGACTCTGTTTTTAAATTCTTATTTCTGTCATGACAATTGATCTGGATTTATCATCTATCATACATGTAGCAAGATGCTCATTTTGCTCTATCTTTACTATGCCACTTAAACCAATTGTGTTGCTCATTAAAATATATTGTATTATCAGTGAACTTTAGGGAGCTGTATTTATATAAGCAAAGTGTCATCCAGCTTGTAAAAGCACATGCTGATATTACATGATCTCTTTCTAGCATCAGAGCAAAAGATACATATGCTTTATCATTTTCATTACCAAAATGTAAATTATCTTTCGATCCTTTTATAGGGCTGCATACTAAATTGTAAAAGCAAAAGAGTAAACTCAGGTATTACCAATGTGAATGGTATTAGCTTCACGTGGTCTGTGGATTATTTAAATAGATGCAAAAAGGTAATATGCAGGCACCTTTGTCTTTGCTGGAAAACTGGGAGCACTACAAATAAAAAACAAGAAAAAAGTTGAAAAATCACTGGTCTATGTAGTCATCACAAATGTAGCATAAATTGAACATACTCCACTGCTGCAAATGTTATTTCCTTCTAAAATTCTATGTAGCCTTTTTGTTTTCTTCCAAAAATCCTACAGGATTTTTAAATGGTGATCTAATGAAGACAGGGAGATGAGCTACATCTGTCATTGGGTTTTATTGATTCACTATTCCATTAATCTGGTTTTGCAGGAGTGTAATATAATTGATTTCTGTGCAGGCACACCGCCTGCTACTTTAAAGTAGATTTGGAGATATTTGATGGTGAGTAGCATCCAGCAAGTTGCAAGTACTGGGTATTACCTTCAAGATCATGAGACATTTATTTCAAGGTGGAAATCATTTATAAATGTTTTCATTTTCACCCAGTCAATAAACTGATGTGGTGTTTCAATAATAAACTTTGCACAAAGTGATAAATACAGATTTAATCAAGTAAACAATATCTTAGGGTGAAAGGTATCATGAGGAGTAGGTCTGTATTGTGACATTAAAAAGAAACCAAATCTTGATCATTACATTTCCTTGGAACAGGCCTTCAGTGGCTCTCTGGCACTCTTGGTTTACCAAGTGAGAGAATTATCTCCAGTATTTCATGACAGCCATACATTTGTTATTTAAGCAAACAGTCAACTAACGTGGAATTGGTAGTGTTGTTTTTTTGAAATGCAAACTGATAAATTGATCAAAGTCTATTCCTATTATACAGGAGACATTTCTTGAGCTATTCAAGTAAGGGATTTTTTAGTGGCTACATTTAAGATTCTTCCCAAGTCTTCACTCCCTTCACTCACTTCAAGAAACAGTGTCCTTTTGTCCTGAGTTATACCAAACTAGCAGTCATCTCATTCTACCCAGGGAAGGTGCTTAGGAGGCCTTAACATGTTATTTCTAATCAAGCAAAGCTGAATTTCTTCATAGAAAAAGTACAACTTAAAACTTTGTCTGAAAGCAGGCATGTAAAATATAAGACAGTATAAATGAAAGAAAACCACCATTAATAGATATTTTTCTGCTGTATCTGATTTTAAAAAACCCAAAAACCACAACTCAAGTGGAGTTATAATACTCAATTATTTTTTTGACACTGAAACCCTCATACAGGCTCCATAGCTATTGAATCCTTTGATGACTCAGTGAAAGCATCAGTCGAATTAAGAAAGAAATAGCTACTATTAGATATCAAAACATTCTGAATTCAGTATTGCCTTGTATAATTTTCATTTGCCATGGCTTCATTATGATTTTATCCCCTCGAAGAGAATTTGCAGTCCTATAGTTCAAAACATGGATGTTAATTACCTAAAAGTTGCAAAATTGTAGAAAGAGTACATTCTTCTCTGCATTTTTTAATTATCCTTATAGTCATAAATAAATTTCTGTTTTTCAGTTAAAATGTTACTAACAATGCATAAGTATGTATAAATACAATTAATTATTTCCCACTCTCGTAGCTGATAAAAATGAATTGTTTGATATTTGATCAGATATTTGCTGATGAAACCAGAAAAATGCAACAAGGTTAGCCAAGATCATAAATTATTTAGATGTGGAACTATCATAAGCCTGAGAAGTTCCATATTTTTTCCAGAGTTTTAAACTGTCCCTCTGTAGGTTATGGTCAAGGGTTGTCCTGTCAGGGTTTGTGATGGGACACTGTAGCAGAGAGCAGAAATGAGGTGATTCCTTGAAGCATAGAAGAGGCTGGTAAAAAGTTATCTGGCTTATGTGATTTCAGGTGCTCTGCTGACAAAATGCTTTGCCCGAATCCATCAACACAATCCATTTGGTGACATGTGCAATGCGTTTGATGACTCTACACAATGCAAGCAAGAGTAGTTTGCTGTAAAGACCTATGCTGCTTCTGTAATATTCCAGTCACAAAAAATAAATGCATGTTATGGCTTTCCTATGATCAATGCCTCAAATGAGGCTTGTTTATGGTGGCACTTACTTTTTAGTATTTGGCTTCCCTTTATGAAATTTTCAACCCACTTTCCTTCTAGAGGCAGCATGGCACTATTTCTTCTTAGCCTGTCCTGTTGTTCCAGAAAAGTATTTTCACCCCTCAAATCAGGATTCTAAGATACCACTTTTCCTTTTCCTCATCCTGAGTCTTTTTCTCTTCAGCCTGTTCATATTGCTGCTTAATTCTTTTCCTTGTGCCCCCTCAATAACATCATTGATTATGTAAAACAGCTACGAAGACCTTTTGTTCTTGCCCGTTGCCCGGGAGATTAAGTACTCTTTGCATAAGCTCTCTTTATGCCAGGTTAATTTTATTTCCCTTGCTTGTCAGTTTCTCTTGCAAATATTTTCATTTCTTCTCCTTAAAAGGATGCACTCCAAACTTGACTGATAAGGCTCTTCTTGTGTTCAATCATTTCGTTAGGTGTGCAGGTTCCTTTTTTCTATCCTTCTTATCAGAGAAAGAATAGCAATAGTTTCAAATGTAGGAAAGGTTCCTTGAATGTTACAGAAGGACATATATGGTTGGAACTGTTTATGCATATATAAAAAATAAGCCTGTTAGATATATTCCTTTTCTTTCATTTCTTCTGTTGCTTACTAGATTTTAAATTCCTAAGAATAGGGACTACTTTTACCTATTCTGATGTACAGGTTACTGTCTCTGTCTTCACAAGAAATTCCTGGAGAACATATATTCATAAGCAATAATTATTTTCAAATAACTTATTTTTAAAATAAATATTATCTCAAGATTGCTATATATTGTGTATTGCCAGTTAGTTTTTCATCAGCTGTTCTCATCAGCCTGAAATTTGATTAATGCTTAACATATAAGAAGTTCTCTGAATGACTGGCAGGGAAGCTCATCAGTTACTCTCCAAAATTATTTTAATGGCATCAGATTGTATTGTGATGTTAATGCTGTTTTATTCTTTCCTGAAGATTGCTTCTATAACCCTGTCATTAAAACAGATCAAAATACTTTTCAGTATTTGTATGTCACCTAAGGAAATTGATCCATATATTTGTACTCCAAAATTTTTAGTACTATAGTTTCTAAAATGTATGCATTTGAATTCACACAGCATCTCTGAAGAACAGAGATGTATGTTTTAATTAATAATGTATTTTAATTCTGAATCATAAGTTTATGGAGGCACTAACTTAAAATGTAACATGTTATAGTTCTGTGGAAAAAGTACGGGCTATAAAACTTACTTCTAGATGTCATGCCAATAGTTCTGGCATATAAGATTTGATAAAGTAAGATATTTGCTGATGCTCAGAGGAGTGGAGAGGTGTTTTTTAATTCTGTATAAGTGTCAAATCTGTGGTTAAAACTGAAAGCAGGTGCTCAGGTGAGGGACTTCATGAGAGCATCTTGTTCCCTTTCTTACTGACTCAGTTGGTCCAGGGTTTCTGGTCTCCTCTTGGCGTTCGT